TGGATATGTGTTTGTGGTTTCCTGCCATTTTAAATTTTTTTTGCTGTATTTTAGCCATTCTTGATTCTCACTTAGTGGCTTATTATTCTATTGTTTGTCCTCTGTTTGAGGGCTTTGGAAATTATCTTTTAGTTCCTCTGTGTGAAGTTTATCTTTGGATGTTCTTTGTAGTGCTGGTTTGGTATTCATGAATTGTTTTAGTTTATTCTTATTGTGGCATGTTTTAATTTCCCCCTTAAAATTGAAACTGAGTTTTGCTGGGTATAGTAACCTTGGCTGGTAGGTCTTTTCTTTTAGAGTTTGGAGCAGCTCATTCCAAGCCCTCCTTTATTTTAGGGTATGAGCAGAGAAGTCAGAAATGGATCTTATTGATTTGCCTCTAAATGTGACCTGATATTTCTCTCTGCAGCTTTTAATATTCTTTCCTTGTTTTCCATTTTAGGGATTTTGATTATATGTCTCCACAAACTTCTCATTTGGCTGGGTCTATTTGGGGTCCTGTAAGCCTCCTGTTTGTGGTTGTCTATCTTGTTTCTGATATGTGATTGGTTTTCTATAACTATCTCATTGAAAATGTTCTCTGTGCCTCTAGTTTGTATCTCCATGTTCTTTTCTATCCCAGTGATTCTCAGGTTTAGTTTCTTAAAGTTGTCCCAGTTTTCTGGTCATGTTCTGTTCATTTTTTTCTTTATTATTTTTGGACTCAAGATCATATACCCTGTCCTCAGTGGCTAAAGTTCTATGTTCAAGGGCTGAGGTTCTGTTTTCTGCGCCATCTGTTAGTGATGCCTTCAAATGAGATTATAATTTGATTGATTTTGTGTTTAATTTCTGAGAGGTCTGCATGGTTTCTTTGCACTATCTCTATTTCTGTATTAAACATTTCCCTGTAATTGTTCTCTTAATTTCTTCCTTAGATCTTCTTTTAGTTCATTGAACATTTTAATAATTAGTTTTTAATAGTCTTCCTCTGGGTTTTCATCTGCCTCACTGTCAGTGAGATCCTTTGTTGGGGGGATGTTGGATTTTGGGGGGACATTTGTTTGTCTGATTTCTCATGTTTTCAGAGGTCTTGGTCTTGTGCATCAATTTAAATGCATTCCTCTACCTCTTTTTTTTTTTGCGCGTGTCCTTTTGTGTGTAGTATCTTATTTGTTCTGGGGCTTCTTCCTGTTTTTTGATGTATGAGTAGATGCCAAGGGGTGGGACCTGAGTTCCCTCTCTGGTTCTTCCTCCTTGAGTTTTATTGTTGGTTTGGGCCTTTTGTCTCTTCATTTCTTGAGTTGCTGTAGTGTCAGGGAATGTTTAGCAGCAAGGTCTCCTCACAATATGGGAGAAAAATAAACAATAGTGACAAATAGTGACAACTATTAGAAACAACAGATAGTAAGCAGTGTTAAATACCCAGTTCCTATTATGAGTCTTAAACATTAATTGCCACCAATGAACAGGATTGGTGGGTTCAGCAGTTGTCAGCAGTGAAAACAATAACCATGAACGCTAGCCACAGCTTTAAAGGAAACAGCAGGTGTGAGCTATTTCACCATAGTGGCAGTGATTGTTTTAGCTTTAATGGTGGGGGCAGGGGTATGTAAACCATTTAGTTCTGAATGATGTAGAAATGCAGTTAACTGGGGTGGAAAGGAAATGTGTTAGCACATTAGAGAAGACTTCACAATTTCAGAAAATGAACAGAGAAAATTCAGAATAGCATAGCAGGTGATATTATGTAGTGGGAGTGGAGAAAATCAAAGCCTGTATTGGGAGAGAGAATGTTAGAATTTGGTGAATAGCAAAAGATAAGATATAAGAGAAATAAACTGAATAGACTGAATATTTTACTTTGATTTTGTATTATTTTCATGTGTTTATTTCTCTTATATCTTGTGAAGTCTTCTCTAATGTGCTAATAAGTAACACTGCTTACTATAGAACCCTCACAAGACAAAGCTAGAAAAAAGATAATTACATTTTAAAAATGCTGAATATGAGAGAAAACATGACAAATAACTGTAATCTATCTGTCCCTGAAAGAGGACAGCAGAATTCACCCGCTCATAGACACACACACAAATTCACACATGGGAGGAATAAGAAAAAAATAATTAAAAAAAATACATGTGTGTTTTAAAAAAAGAAAGAAAAATATCCAGTGTCTTAGTTGTAGACCAAAGTGACCTCCACCAAAATGGTCAAAATATTTGACCAGCATGGGTGGTCAGTGTCTGTTCAGTAGTCTTTCTCGTCCATTTTTCCTGAGTCAAGTACTGGTAGAACGGATGCAGGACCTTAACCCACGCTGTGGCTCTCTGAGCTGCCTGTGCACCTAGGATTGAAGCTGTGTGCCTTCCTCTATCCGGATAATTTCTAGATTTGGTATTTCAGGTTATCCCATAATTTTTGGAGGTTCTGTTCATGGATTCTTACCATCTTCACTGTGTGGTCAACTTTTTTAAGATTATACATTTTGTCTTCATTGCGTGAGGTTCTGTCTTCCAAATGATCTAGTCTGTTGGTGATGCTTCTGTAATTTTGTAGTGTCCCTGCAGGTTACCAATACCTCATCTTTAAGGGGGAGATCAATATTTAGAGTACTCAAGGTGAACAATATGCATCCTTAAACCATATAGGTTCTATTTAGACAGTTATAGTTTTTTCACAATAAACAGAAATGATGAATTTGATTAATATCTATAATGAAATAGGAGGTTTGCGTAAGGGTCTGCAGTTTCTGATGGTAGAGAGCAGGGGCGGGTGGGAGGTGAGAATAGAGAGGTGTTAGCTCACAAGAAGAGTGAAGGAGGATCAAGAGAAGCAGGCTAGCAGGGGTGCCTCTGGTGTAACCAAGCCCGCAGGGACCTTGGTGATGGTCTTCCAGATTCTGGCTGTTGTTTTTAGATTGTAGCGAGCATGTCCCTCGTTGGTGGCAGTGGTGGTGTCAAGCCTTCCAGGCCCCTAGCCGTTGTCCTAAGATGGAAGCTTCCTTGACTAAAGATGATGGTGGTGGCAGTGGAGGTGTCCCAAGATTGAGGTGATTGCTTTCAGAGATGGGGCTGAGAGGGTAGTTCATGCATTGGCCAGCAGCGCTGTGATGTGTAGTGCTGCAGCAGGCTGCTACCTCCAGGCCCTGTCCATTGTCCCAAGGTGGAGGCTAACACCTTGGAGGGGTTGTGCAGGTAGCTGCAGTGTCCCAAGATGGCAGCAGGTGGGAAAGCCACGCGTTGGTAGACGGGGCTACAGCATGGTCACTCTCCTCCACATGTACGTGTTCACTCCCAGGTTTATATGCTCACATTGACCTAATGTACTGGGGTGAATTCTGGTATGTGCTGTGGTTTAAGGGACTTCTAGATACACAGCAGAGAGATGAGCTGAGGTGATGTTTGTGTCCACACAAAAAAAGTGAGGTCTTGAATGAGGGATGTGCAGAGAAGGAGAGGAAGACAGCAGGGTGTGGGGCAGGACGGACTCAAGCGTAAGACCTGGGTTTCCACTTGGCTGAGGCCCCAGCCTTGCTGTGAAGGTTTCCCTGGTCTCCCTTTCTTGATTCCCCATTTGCATGATTATTTTAAAGTACATCTCCTAATGGGAACTACAATGGTAGTTACTACCAGATATCAAATAGCCACAGGTCCACAGAATTCTTCTCTAGAACCCTTTTAGGAGATTGTTGTCAGGGATTTTAGCCCCCGTCTCCTCCTGACCAGTGGGAGACCCATGAGGTGGGTAAGTGTACACATTTGAAAGAGTATAACAGTAATAGATGTAGAGTTTCTCACAGTGATATGGTTAAACAACACTCTTCAGTAAGTTCAAGTTCCATTTAACACATGACTGTTATAGGAATATAACACGAGCCACATATTTAATCAGAGTTTTTCTACTACCTACATTAAAATAACTTTAAAAACAGGCAAAATTATTTTGTTAACCCAGTGTATTTAAAATACTGCAATGTATGATCACTGTTTTTACAGTGAGATATTTTACTGCCCTTTTTTTGTATTACATCTTCACAATCTGGAGTGTATTTCACACAGCACGTCCCACATCAGACCAGCCACGTGTTGTGGAGCTCAGTAGACCCATATGCCTTGTGGGTGCTGTATTGGACAGCTCTAAACCTGTGTTGTGTTTATTGTTCCCTATAATTTCAGGTTTATAGTCAGTCTGCCGTAAAATCATTTTAAATTATCTGGACTTTTGTGTCCTGCTCCATTTCATCTATTTTGCCAGATAAGAGGTTCATTTTTTATTTATTTATTTATTTATTTTTAAATTTTTTATTGTGGGTAGAGGTTCATTTTTATTTAGTCTAATCTTTTACCTTTTTTCCTACTTCTCTGAGTTTAAAGTTTTCACTCTTGTAAAATCTAAATACTGAATTCTAATTGCTACTAGGTTTGCAGTCTTTAAATATTTGATTTCTGCATTTTGAGGGATTTATAATTTTACAAATGTATAACTTATAATATAAGATTCAATTATTTTAAAGAACATAATTCAGTTACTTTTTAAAAAACGTATTTTCCACATTGTATAACCATCTCCACAATTCTGATTCAGAACATTTTCATCACCCTACTAAGATCCCTTTTGCCGAGTTACAGATTATACAGATAATCCTGATTGACACTGCCAGACCCAGACAACTAATGGTCTTGTCTCTGTAGATTTGCCTTTTATAGACATTTCATAAAACAAAACTATATTTATTGTCCAGTGACAGCCTGTGGGGTTGAATGTGGTATGTGGTACAAATTTATCCTCTAAATAAAACTTTGATTTATTTATTTTCTCATCACAAACTCTCCTGAAATATTAAATATTTCTTTAAAATCTTTCATATGATAATTCAAACCCCAAGAAGACACTGAAAAGTTATTGTTCTGTTTTTCATAGTTATTCTGATCAGTAATGATAATGATTGCATGCATATTGTAGAAGATTGATTTTTCAAGCACAGGAAAACAACCAATCAATTTTTTGGTATCTTTCAGACTCCAGGTCTAAGTGTGAGGTGAAGAAATTACCACCAAATCAGTGCAACAAATCTGGGCAAAGCAGCTGTCAGAAACCAGTTTCTACAAAACAAAAGGTTCCAACAGGGAGCAGGGGCTACAGCAAAAGTTCATTCCTAAGCAAACCCAAGAAAGGTAATTCAGGGAAGAAAGCCTTAAAATGTGATTACTGTGCTAAAACCTTTAGTCAAAGCATCTCTCTTAAACTGCATCAGAACTCACATACTGGAGAGAGACCTTATGAATGTGGTAATTGTAGAAAAGCTTTCAGACAGATCTCATCTCTCATTCTTCATCAGAGAGTTCACAATGGGAAGAAAAGCCATGAATGTGATAAATGTGGGGAAAGTTTCAATAACAAAATAGGCTTTATTCTACATAGAAAAATTCATAATGGAAAGGAAATGTCTAATTGTGGGAAGGGTTTGAGTTCATGTCCATCTCTCAGTGTACATCACAACATCCAAATTGTGGAGAGAGTCTACCAGTGCAGAAAATGTAGGAAAGCCTTTAGTCGGAATTCATCCCTTTTAGTTCATAAGAGAATTCACAGTACAAAGAAAATACATAAATGCAATAGGTGTGGGAGAGGCTTCAAAAAGAAACCAGCCCTTGTTACCCATGAAAAAATTCATATTGGAGAGAAACCTCATAAAAGTGTGAAGGCCTTAAGTCAGAGTGTGATGCAGAGAAGTCACCATTTAGAGAATGCCTTTAAATGTGGAAAATGTGGGAAATCCTTTAGTAGGATTTCACCCCTTCTGCTTCATCAGAAAATTCATGCTTCAGGTAAACCCTATAAATGTGACAAATGTGAGAAGGACTTTAGGCGCCTTTCAACCCTTATTCTGCATCGAAGGGTTCACAGTGGAAAGAAGCTGTACAGATGCAATAAATGTGAGAAGGTCTGTAATCGGCATTCATCCCTCATTCAACATCAGAAAATTCATAAACGGAAGAAGAAGCTCTTTGAGTGTAAGGAATGTGGAAAGATGTTTTCTGGAACTGCAAACCTTAAAATACATCAGAACATTCATTCTGAAGAGAAACCTTTCAAGTGCAATAAATGTAGTAAAGTTTTTGGTCGCCAGTCATTCCTTATTGAACATCAGAGGATTCATACTGGAGAAAAGCCCTATCAGTGTGAGGAATGTGGGAAAGCGTTCAGCCACCGAATATCCCTAACTCGACACAAGAGGATTCATACTGAAGACAGACCTTATGAATGTGACCAGTGTGGGAAGGCCTTCAGCCAGAGTGCACATCTTGCCCAGCACGAGAGAATCCACACTGGAGAGAAGCCGTACACCTGTAAGACATGTGGGAAGGCCTTCAGTCAGCGCACCTCCCTCATCCTCCATGAAAGAAGTCATACCGGAGAGAAACCCTACGAGTGCAATGAGTGTGGGAAGGCGTTTAGCAGTGGCTCAGACCTCATTCGACATCAGAGAAGTCATTCTTCGGAGAAACCCTATGAATGTAGCAAGTGTGGGAAGGCGTATAGTCGGAGCTCGTCCCTGATTCGACATCAAAACACTCATTCTGAGGAAAAGGCCTAATGTTTTAAATCTGTAAAAGCTAAGAATGAGGTTATCAAAGAAGCAGTCACAGGCATGGGCGAAATGTACAGATCTTCCTTAGGGGTTGGGGTTGTGTCCTGAGAAACTCCCCAAGGTTGAAAATATAGTGAATAACACACTTGAAGTACCGAACATCAGAGCTTTGCAACACAGCCCAGTGCAGAGTACCGATCATTCATCATTGCACGGCTGACAGGGAGCTGTGCCCACTACTGCCGCCCAGCACCATGAAAGAGCATCATACTGCCTGCTGCTAGCCTAGGAAAAGATCACATCCTGAAGTACAGTTGCTACAGAACATATTGCTTCTGCACCATCATAAAGCCAAAACTCACAGGTTAAGCCTTTGTATATTGAGGTCTGTCTGTACCTGTCTCTAATATAAATTGTGTATATATGGGGTGATGTGATGATGTATCCCACTTTGAAAGCCAAAGAACAAAAGTCACTGGTGACTTTTGACCTCTGGATTTGAAACCAACTGAGGCAAGCTCAGGAGAAAGATAAGTCTTTTGAGGATGAAGGCTATTTTTCTTTGATGTTTTATTTTCTAGTGTAGTTTTGAAGAGACTTCACTGGCCACATGCCACACAATGGAATTGTGAAGTCTGGTTTTGTAGATGGGGCGTTGAGCCTGATTTGAGTTCACATGAGTTTGAGTCAGTTCCTCAGAACCAAAACTGTCCCATAAAAAGGAGTTCCTGGCAAAATAGGATGCTGCTTTCACCTGACAGTCTTTAGGGGGATAAAGATAGCACCTGTGATGGTGTGCAGCAGCAGTGTTCACCATACTGTCTTCATGGATTTGAAGACATGGTGTGAAAATTGAATATGGCCAAGACAGGCTAATGGGGAAGAACCATGAGGTGGTAACAAAATGAGGAACTTCAGAGCAGGGAGAAAATTTATATTTGAAAATAAATTGTTTATATTTATATGACTATATATTGGTATTTTCATGTAATACCGATGTGTAATAAGTGACTTGTGAAATGTGTTACAGACTAAATGTGTGTGTCACCCAAAAATCACATGCTGAAGCCCTCACCCTCAATGTGTGGTATTTGGAAATGGGGCATCTGGGAAGTATTTAGGATTACATGAGGACAAGGCTTCATGATGGGTCATTGCCCTTAGAAGAAGAGATACCAGAGAGCTTACTCTCTGCACCATGCAAGAGCATAGGAAGGCAGATGTCTGCAACCAAGGAGACAGCCCTCCCTGGAACCTGACCTGGTAGACATTCTGATCTCAGATTTCCAGCCTCTGGAACTGAGAAGTTAATTCTGTTGTTTAAGTCCCCCGTCTGTGGTGTTTTATTATGTCAGCTCAAGTGGACCAAAACACTGGGGAACCTCTAGGTATATATACTGGGCTCTTTTCATTTCAGCTGTTTGCCTGTTTCCAGTGTGTGTAAAACATGTCAGAAATAAAGTCAGAGCTCTGTTTTGTGATTAATTATATTGTCAGGCTTTTCTGTTTGTGTTTTCCTTCTGCAAAAAAATCTACTTTTATGAATACTTGTATCTTGACAACTTTGTGGAATGTGGGATCACATGGGTTAGGTTATTTTGACTTTGACAAGTGAAAACAACAACCAGAATTGTCAGGAGTGAACATGTATGCAGCATAACAAAACAACTAAGTTTCCCGTTTAAATTGGACCTTTCAAATATGAAAAGTAAGCATTAAAAATAAATCTCCACTTGGAGTAAATGGGTGAGTAAGGCCTGGGGGAGGCGACAGGAAGTATCTTTTCTCCTCCTGCTTCTGCACACGTGTCCCTCCTCTCCACCTTGTTCTTCTCCCAGGCTGCCATATGAGTGGTTCCTGATGGAGGGTGGTGTACCTAGAGTGGGGAGGAGTGAGAGGATGACCTGCCCCAGTCACCCCTCCCTTCAGTCTCACTGCCTGTTGGCCTTCTTGCCCTTCTTGGAAACTGCAAGAGTGCATCGGGATGGCAGTACATTCACTCAGAAGCCGACCTGGAATGGGTTATGAAAACTGCTTATTGTAGCTGCCTTATTGCTGACCCCATCAGAAATCCTCACTTGATCTTGTTAGGCCTATTCTCACAGCTCTTTAGTCCAGGAAGGCATTTCTGAGGGCGCCACATAGGCAGTGTGACTTAAAGCCTACCTACCTGTGCTCCCAACTACTAGGAACTCAGTTATTTTCTAAAGGATCAAAACCTTCATTATTTAATTTTTTAGTAATATACATAAGTTTTAGAAGTACATTCACCCTCAAGAAAATCAATATTCGTTTGCTTTAATCCCTAAAACTTTTAAAATCCTGATAAAATTTGTTTTATTCACTTGCCTGGTATAGAAGAGGCAATTTTGACAGTATTTTTCTTTTTCTTTTTTTAAAATATTATTGTAGTTGTAGATGGACAATACCTATATTTTATTTTTATGTGGTGCTGAGGATTGAACCCAGTGGCCCACACGTGTGAGGCAAGCACTCTGCCACTGAGCTGCAACCCCAGCCCAGTATTTTCCTTTTAAGCTGTGCCTATGGACTTTCCATAATCCTTCAGTGACGACATGTCTGCACATTTGTGTGTCGCTGTCCTGGAAACAATTACTCCTAAACCCAGGGATGTATGAGCTGGCTAGACATTGTTCCTGCCCACAGGCACCTGCTGTTGACCAGAGAATACAGGATGTGAGAAAAGGGAAGTGTGTGCCAGGTGTCAGGTAGAGGGTGATGATCTCCCCGATGGGGGGGGCATGTAGGCCAACTGCTTCTAGAGATGGTGATGGTATTAAAGGAGGAACAAGGGGGGAGGCCAGGAGAAAAGTATTCATGCATAAATAATGCAGGAGAAGTGGAGTGTTGGGGATGCTGCAAACTCCATCACTTAGTACCCCACAGGTGAGTGGTAAGCACTTAATAAAATATTTCACTGAAAATATTTTAGTAGAACTGGACTGTCTCTGAGCATGCCTTAACCTGAAGAGGACCTGGATGCTGAGGTAAACACTTGGGAACCAGCCCTCACCCCAAACTAAGAGTCACGAGTGGTGAACTTTAGGTAAGTAGCCACAGCAAACCTGAAGACTTGCCCGACACGGAAGGCTCAACAGAAACGTGGCCTTTTGAGAACCTCTTTCTATTGCCCTACCCAAGATACTGGACTTCCAGAAAGAAACAGTACAGGGCACAAAAACTGCCAGGAAGTATACCTCCCCATCAGGACAGGAGGCCATCCTTAGAAGTACTGATGGAATTGAAGTAAATGTTCTAGCAGAAAAAGTGCACAATGGGCAGATATAGATGGGCAATTGAAGCTGAGATAATCAAATGGAAATGCAAAGAATGAAAATAATAGATGACAGTGTCTTCAGCAAGTTCATCAATATAATTGAAACTCTGATAAAGAATGAATAAACCCGAAAGTAAGAAATATATGTATATGTCTCCATACTGAAACACAAAGTGTTGCTGGTGTCAAAAGCACCCAACAGCTGCGGGGACATATCTTTTAGTCCAACAAAATAATTGAAATTCCAGAAGGCATATGGAATATGGGGCAGGAGAAACTCCAGAAATGAGGCTAGGAAGTTTCCAAAGTTAATGATCCCAGAATGCCAATGTGAAGCTCGGAGAGCACCAAGAAACAAGTACCAAAAGCAGAGACACCAAGGCAAATCATATTCAAACTGCTGGGAAAATCTGACGAAGTCCACTCTGGGGCTGGGCTCAATGGTAGAGCTCTTGCCTAGCATGCGTGAGGCTCTGGGTTTGATTCTCAGTACCACATATAAATACATAAATAAATAAATATCCATAGACAACTAAAAAATATATATTAAAAAATCCCACTTAGTACATGCAGAACACACATTCTTTTTTTAAGTGCTCACTAAATATTTGCAAGATAGCATTAAACATTTAATAAATGCTAGAAAATTATTACAAAGTATGTTTTTTGTAACAAATAAACAATAATATCATGAAGAATGCTAAGCATAAATTACAAATTCCATCTCTTTAATAGTCTGAACTGTTCTGATTATCATGAGTAACCTTTAGTAGTTTGATTCTTTCCAAAAGTTCTCCCATTTTACCTGTTATGAAATTTATTTCTGGAAAGGCCATCGTGTGTGTGTGTGTGTCTGTGTATATGGGTGTATGTGTGCCTGTGTCTGTATATGTGTTTGTCTGTGTGTGTGTGTACACATATTTTGCCATTCCTGTTATGGCTAGAATTTGTCATGTCACCTCTGCTGCTCCATCTATCGGTAGCGTATTTTCTCCCTTTTTTTCTTGGTCAGTCTGAATGAAAGTTTATTGGATTCATTGACGTTCTCATAGAACCAGCTCCTTAAGTTTTCTGTTCTTTGACTTCCATCCTGTTAGTGCGAGATGCCCAGAAGCAATGCAGTTGTCTGGGGACATCCTAGTACTTGTCTTGTGTTCCCGTTTCTCAGGGGTCAGTCTTCCCTTGCGTGATGTCCATTTCAAACTGGATTCTGAACCTCTGCTGCTGCAGTTGCTGGCGGGTGTCCTCTGCAGCAGTGGCAGTCTTTGCTGCAGGGTGCCCTCAGCCAGCAGGACCACACTATGAAGCAGTGCAATGGAGCAGAATCTAGGCAGTGTCGCAGCTCTTGGTGGCAGGCAGATGCCCTCTTGGCATTGCAGCAGACCCAGCCACACCAGTGATTTCTTTCCAGGTTCTTGTGAATCCAAAGAATGAAACCCACAGACAATGGAAGGCAAGAGTTAAAAGAGGATTTAAGTGAGAAGAAAAACAGTTCTTGCCAGGTGAGAGGGGACCTAAGGGTAGATTGTCATCCAGGTGTGCTAGTCTAGGAGTTAATATACTACAAGGTCAGGCCACTGGCCAGTCTGTGCTAAATAGGTGTTAGAAGAGTGCCATGGCTGCTGTCGACATCTAAGCTAAACATGCGGGATGCGGGGAAGCTCTCAGATCAGTCTGGGACTTCCCAACTGGTAGTGCCCTCTTTGTCCTTGAGTCTGTAGCCTTCGCTCAGGTCACACCTGCTCTACCCTTTCCACCATGAGAGGACCGATGGTTGGCTGAATGTTCCCACAGGTTAATCTCATGGGGTGGCCTGTACATTTGGAGCAGCCTGCGTGGTGATTGCGCTACCTGCCTGTTTTACTGTCTGTCCTTCTATGCACAATGTCCTGAACACCAACACTCCATATGTTTTGTTCAGTCTTTTAAAAGACATTTTAGATAGGTTAAACCAATCCCTATAACTCTTTCTTTGCTAGTTTAGTTCTTAGATAAGCATTTAGAGAGGAAAGTAGAATTCATTTAACATTCCTGTACATACATATTTTTATTTTAAAATAATCTTTTTAACTGTAGATGGACATAATACCTTTATTTATTTTTATGTGGTGCCTCACATGTGCTAGGCCAGTGCCCCACCACTGATTCGCATCCCCAGCCCCCCCGTATGCTTTTGTTTGTTTTGCATCAGTGAGTGAATCAGGGATGCTTAACAACTGAGCACATACCCAGGATTTTTTTTTTTTTTTGGACAGGATCTTGCTAAGTTGCTTACAGTCTCACTAAGTTGCTGAGGCTGGCCTCAAATTTGCAATCTTCCTGCCTCAGCCTCCTAAGCCAGTGGGATTATAGGTGTGTGTCACCACTCCTGGCTTGTACATATGCTTTTGAAAAGCTTTACCCAACATTCTGGAAGACAAATGGAGCAAAGGTAGCCATGCCTTAATAATGTTGGCCACTTGTCTTTCCTAACCAAAGCAGTGTCCATTTGGAGTGAAGTAGAAGGGCCCTCAGAGCAATTCTGTGGGCCTTCGTTCAGCGCTGCCTTCTTATTGCCACCCAGTGAACAGAGCAGCGAGGTTGTTCACGATTTCTTTGTGTAGATTTTTCCATTATGATGCTTTCATCTGACAGCAGAAAGTACCAAAGATGCTGGATGCACTTTTAGTGTGTCCCAAATCATCATTTTTGCACACCTTTTTTCTCTTTTGGTGCTGGGCATTGAACCCAGGTCCTGTGTAGAGCAAGACCTCTTCCCTGAGCTCTGTGCCCAGCCCTGCATTACATCAGGGTGCTTAGGATTGACTCCAGGGCTGCTGTGTGCTGAGTAAGCACTCCACCACTGAACACATCCCCAGGCCCCAGCAGTATGAAGTGGTGCCCCTCGTAAGTGATTTTTTTTTTCTTTTCATTTTGTTGAGTTTGGGAAATTGTCTGTAAATTTGAGTCTCTAACATTCGACATAATCTGTGAAAGGATGGACTTTCTTTAAACGTTATTTTAAGACAGAGTCTCACTAAGTTGTTCAGGCTGGATTCCAGCTCATGGTGTTACTGCTGTTTACCAGTGACGAGTCCTTGCTTCCCGAATGCTGAAGTATAACAGCAGAGAAGCACTCTGAGGCAAGTGAAGAGTGGAAAGTAGAAGTTTTATTAAAGGACAGCAGAAAAGACTTCTCCCGGTGGAA